CTCGCTGCATTGGGAAACCAACCACAGTATACACTCTGAGAAGAATAAATCCAGGGTCAGGGAGATAACCTGGTGGTCATATATAAAACCCCATCATCCTATTTCCTCCTAGTCCGTCCTTCCTCCGTAACCCTCCCAATCTCACAGTGAAAGGGAAAGCCACCTATTCAATCATTCCAGCCAGAAACCTTGCCATTTCTTTCCCTTTGGCACCTCTCCTATGCAACCCATGTCCTGTTTTCCTTAACTGTCTCTCAACTCTCCCTTTGTATACATCGTCACTGCTGCAGAACATCTCAGCAGGCCTGCTGGAATAGTTGTCCCATCAGGCTCCCCTCCTCCAGTCTTACCCTTCTGACGCATCCTTCCCTTTGTACTTCAAGCAATCTTGTAAATAAGCAGGTGTATGAACATGTTACTAATTTATTCATAATCCTTACTGAATTCATCAATGTCACATGACATTCAGAAGTGATAGAAATTCACTGTTTTCCAAGGAAATGAATACAAAGTAAGTTTGGCATTATTTCCTATTTTTATACAGACGGATCCTATCAGAGAGATAATGCAGGGGTTTTCATGACCTGATATCTGCTTATTGCTTAAACCAGAGCTTAGGATCACTTTTTCCTAAGCTTTGACTGACAGGTATTTATACCTTGCTATTTTTTGAATTTGCTACCTGTTACAATTTGTATCTAGATGTCCCCCAAAGCCTCATACAGTCATGGGGGGCAGTCTTTTCAAAGAGGGCTGCATCTAGAGTGTGTGGTGCTGGATTCAAGGTGCGTGATTAGTAATCAGTCTACTGACTGGTCTGTTGTTGTTGTTCTGGGGAGGAGTAAAGGTGAGTGCTACACCAGCCCTTCAGCGGGTAGCCTGCATGCAATACAAGGGACAGAAAGAGGCTGTCCCTTCTGCTCTTGGTGCTTTTGCTATCTACTGGCACCAAGAACTGTTCTCCTCTGTGACACCCCTGCCATGCCGCCCTGCCTTGGAGCCAGCTGATTGTGAACTGAACCCTGTACAAGCTGTGAGCCAAACAAACCCTTTCTTATTGAACTCTGGGGGGTACTTTGTCCCAGCGACAGGCAAAGAAACTAAGACATCTATCTGTGTCATGGCACATTCTGCATATTCTCCACGCTGGCCACACAGCACACATCCACTCAGGACTCACTTCTCTCATCTACGCAGTCCTTCCTGAACGCCTTCTCTAGCGTCCACTGACCTGTACTGCCTACATGGACCTCTTTACAAGAACAATGTTAATTTATTGCACAGTCCATCTCCTCATCTGCTACCTCTACTCACAGTGCACAGGGCTTTATTATGTTTCGTAGTCTTAGCACTGAATACATGCTCAGAGCATAGGAGGCATTCAAAAAAAAAAAGTCTTTTGAATGAGTGGACAAAAAAACCCTAGAATGTTCTTCTCGTAATTCACCATCTGGCTAGTTCCTTTAAGATTCAGTTTTTCACCAGCTCACAAAGGGAACCCGTTATCAGCTCCACACCCTCACAAGTGAGAGTCCTCCTCACACCAGCACAGCAGTGTGTGTTGCACTACCCACACTCTAGTGTAACTTCCTCTGCAGAATCTGCAGTGAGACAGCTATCTTCCAGCTTACCCACACCAGCTTGTCATCTCCCTGGAAAGCAGATGTCCATCCACTCTGAATCTCGGTGGCTAACTTAATGTGAAAGTCACCCTCCACAGTAGGCCCTTGATGCAGTTTTCTGAGTAAATGAAGAGCTACACTGGGTAGTCAGTCCAGGGTCCTCACAACTCAAAAGCACCAGCTTACATGTTTTGGGGTGTCCAACACAACTGCTCAAAGCAGACTTTCCATCTTTCTGTTACTCCACTGAATCTGAAAGCCTCAGGAATGGAAAGAAGGATGAGGAGCAGAGAATGCAAACAGGACACTTCCTGAACACAGGCAGGGCTGAGCAGGGCCAAGGTGGACACCGTAGGAAAGGCCACATGCTGCAGGGTGCGCCCGCTGCCCACAGTCACAGGAGTCAGCTCAGAGTGGGAAGCGCCAAGGCGTCCAGAGGACCCCTGTGCCACCAGCCAGGAGGAGCCCCAGGAAACACCCAGCCAGGCCAGCAAGGGATGCATTGCTCTCAGAGGTGCATGAGATAGGAAAGGCTTGTTGCCATCACCTGCCACATTTGGAGATAATTTGTTACACAGCAACTGACATAACTAATAAACCCACTTGACAGATGAAGAAATTTGAATTCAGAGTTACAAAGTCTCCTGATCAAAGATACAAGAGTTAGAACTGAAATCCACTGTGAATTCTACAAGCCCAGATTTTAGCCACTCTGCTGTACTGGCATTTATTTATTTATTTAAAATGCAGGTTCTTGCTTTGTAGAATAGGCCGTCCTTAAACTCCTCTGCAGCTTAGGCTGGCCTCAAACTGAGAGGATCTTGCTGCCTCAGCCTCCCACGTGCAGAGATTATAAATGTGCACCACCATGCCTGGCTGCTACACTGTTTTATGTTTTCAATCTTATGTTACTAAAAGTACACTACTCTTGCAGTTGGGAAGGGAAACTAAGAATGAGAGGGCAGGGGCTGGTGAGATGGCTCAGTGGTCTAAAGCACCTACTTAGAACAAGCTTAGCAAAGCACAGGGACCGCGGTTCAATCCCTCAGCACCACACGCCAGCCAGCCCCGCCCCCTGGTGGGCTGAGCTGGCCACACACACGCACACACACACACACACACACACACAAAAAAATAAAATATAAAAAAAAAAAAAAAAAAAGAATGAGAGGGCAGGGAGAGGAGTGACAGGGAAGACAGAAAGGACTAAGATACCATAAGTGTATGTATCGATTCTCCATGATAAACAGACTGATGATGTATTGCAAATGTGCACAGTACTAACAAAAAGTGATCTTAAAAGAGAAAAAAGTAGATCCAAAATTATACTGTGCCATAAGTAATATGTTAGGTGCTATGAGAGCTAGAAGGAAGGACTGGATAGGCTTATTATTGTGGATTTCATTCTGTAATAATTTTACAAGTATACAGCTCGCTCTTTCCAAGTATCGAGTGATCTGTGAAAGCCACCTAGTGCCAATTCTGTGTAACTGCAATCTGCATAGTTAATGGTATGAATGTCATACTTTATGCCATGTGATTCCTAATCGAAAGAATCTAAACATTTAATACTCTGTCCATATACATAACACAAAACAATGTATTCCCATGGAAAATTAGCATTAAATCTCTCTTGATTCTGAGTGACATAAAATATTCACTCAATATAGAACTAATCTTGTCAAGAACCAGGCATGTTGGCACATGCCTGTAATTCCAGCACTCAGGAGGTTGCGACAGCAGGATCTCTGCATGTTCACGACCAGCCTGGGGGCTACAAAAGTGAGCACAAAATGACAAGCCTGTAATTTTAGGCCTCTGGAGGTTAAGGCGGGATGATGGCAAGTTCAAGGCCAACATGGTTACATAGTGAGTTCAGGGCCTTGGCCAGAGCCAGCCTGAAAAAAAACATAAAGAATATAGTCATCTCACTAATTTGCAAGATGATTTATCTACTCACTAAAACGTATTTGTAGGCCCAAGAATAACACCAGCAGTGTTACACTCTCTGGATATGTGAAGTGCGTGCAGAGCAGGGAAGAACTGGAACTGCTACTGTGCACTTCCCAGCTGAGGCAGCCTCAGCCTCCTCGTGTCAGCTCACACTGTGGAGGCCAAGTTTCTGGGGAGGGGTGTGTGCGTGCGTGCGCACACGCGTGTGCCTGTGTCTGTGTGTGTGTTTCAAAAGCACTGAGGTACTCTGTTCCACTCCTAAGTGTAAGAAGGCCCTGTGGAGAAGCCGGGTGTTAGACAAGCTGCATTCAGGCAGGAGTCGTAGTGCTGGTGGCTGTGTGTCAGAAGTGAATCAACACTGCCTATCAAATAAGACACCTTTAAACAGAAACACACGTCAATCCTGGTTATGTACACATCACCTGACACAGCACTACGACCATAGACTATAAAGATGCAATCCACTATCTCCTCTAGGAGCAACGGCTCAGTACCTGCTAATATGCTGGGGATGACTTCATAGGCTGCACCTACCACAGACATTTCCAAAATGTCAAAGAAAGTTAAGTTCTAAAATAGTCATTGAACACACCAATCTAAAATCACCCAGTTTTTCTACAGTATTATCTAAGTGAACTTTGTTCTACTTATTTATTTAATGGTTCCGGGTATTGAACTCAGGACCCTGTGCTTGCCAGGCAGGCACTTATTCTACTGAGCTATCACCCTGGACCCTATGAACCTTGTTCTAAACAAGGTGTTAGCTCAGTTTTGATGGGCTAGTTATATTTTCTAGTATATATTAAAATAAATGCTTCCATATACTAAGTACACGCCTGCAGTCTCAGCACCCGGGAGTCTGTGACAGGAGCATTATGAATTAAAGGTCAATCTAAGACTCTATCTCAAAAAACCAAAAAAGGATCTGCACTAAAAATTTTTCAATGTATATCTCTATATTAGCAAAACGATCTCTTGTATCTCAACAGCACAAGTGCCCTCAATGATGCATGAATCACACTCAACTGAGCAACACCTTGTCTCAAAGTGAAAAGGGGAGCTGAGCAGGATGGAATTTTATCTTATTTTTAGAATTTAACCATTACTTCTTCAACTGCCAACTAATTAACAAGATATAAGAAAAATTCTACTGTAATTTAAAATGCTAAATGTTGACATGCATTAGATATTGTTCATACAGCTTAAAATAGAAAATATTTTTCATGAATTAAAACTATCTAAAGCTAACAATGTGAATTTTTTACAGAAAAACTTATTACTCTGTAACAAAGAAATTTTTCAAAATTCCATCTAAGAAGAGTCAGCTAGGGAAGGCTACCTACAGATTATAATACAAAATACATCCCCTTCATCACAGGAAGAGTTGAAGACGCTGTGGTGGGACACAAAGGGATTGGTGCCGACCTGAAGCCGTGTCGCGCTGCTGAAGGCCAGCCCCTGCGGCGGCAGTGCACTGCTGAGCCCCGAGAGACTGTTCCAGTACGATGCGCTCCGCCGCTGCCGTCAGCCTGGGCCTCTGTCCTTCACTAAGTTCACCCACACTGTTTTCCAAGTCCTTCAAAAAGTTTCAACAGCTGTTAAAACCACGATATTACAATCAAGTCAAGTCAGTGTAGTGGCACATGCCTATAACCCCAGCTGCAAGGCCAGCCTAGACAACTGAGCAACACCTTGTCGCAAAGTTAAAAAGAGAGCTGGCAGGGTGGAATTTTATCTTATTTTTATGAATTTAACCATTACTTCTTCAACTGCCAACTAATTAACAATATATAAGAAAAATTCTACTATAATTTAAAATGCTAAATGTTGACATGTGTTAGATATTGTTCATACAACTTAAAATAGAAAATGTTTTTCATGAATTAAAACCATCTAAAGCTGTGAGTTTTATAACTGACAAGAATACACTTCAAATACCATAGATTACCCCATGTGAATAAATACATTTTTGTAAGCACACAGATTGAAGACTATTTTAGTTATATTTCATAAAGTTCTTTGTCCTGAGAAAGTACAAAGTACAAAAATGTTTATTAAATATAATATTAATGAACTAAAAACTAAAAAAACTAAGATCCCATTTTCTTTCCATATTAAAAATTATATGCCATAATCACTAGTATGATTTGAGACTTGGAAATATTATAATAAATGCTTACTATTCAAACACTGAAGTAAAATTCCAGTATCTAAAAGGCCCCATGTGTACCTCTCCTCTGCTCTCTTTTATCTTCAGTGCTAGAGACGGAACCCAGGACTGCACACATGCTAGGTGAGCACTCTACCCAGACCCTATTTCTCATTTAAAGGAGGTTTACTTTCAACCAGCATGAGTTTATCAACCATAAAATAAAATCAAAGCACCTTGGTTCAACATCCAAAATTCTTTAACATTTGCCCTAATTCTCTATACATCTCGGTCTCCTCCTGGTTCCCCTATCTGACCTCTTCCTCTGGAACACCAGTCCTTCTAACATGTTTTAAACTGACAAAAACTGATCGCAATTTAATACATCCCTTGGAGATTCGGGGCAATGTGTAGAATGATGGCAGATGTTTTTCTACCAAAAATTAGTCACAAATATTTCACAGTACCTACAATATGCTTAAAGGTAGGGGCTATGTCTCATTCATGTCTGTATATTCTCCAATGCTGTGTGTACCAGATAGTAGATACTCAATAATAAAAGCTTGTAGGACAAATGAATGAATGAATAAATGATCTTCACAAATCAATAAAATGCTTCAGTTTTTCAACTGTGGAATAAAAGGGTTGGAATAGCTGGTCTAATTTAGTTTTAGTTACACAACTCTATAGGGGAGGAAAGGGAGGGAAAGGGGTTTAAAAAGGGAATTAAGATATATTATATTCATGTACCAAATCCCCAAGAGGAATATAAATGCTACACACTACAAATATGTACTAATAAAAACAAATGAATAAATATATGAATAGACACTTGGACCAAAAAAGAAAAAAAGAAAGAAAAACAACTGTATAGAATAATGGAAACATTAGCATGCCTTAATTAAAAATAGATTATTGGATACATAAAGAATTAAGATCTGTTAAGTACATGTACCAATTCCCCATAATGAATATAATCATTATGTACTGTAAACATATAAAAACATTTTTTTAATTTAAAAGTAGGACTATTTTTATTTTTATTCCATTTATATCTAACCAAAAATAATTACTTACCTCTGACTGATAAACTGCTTTCTGTGAAACTAGTAATTGCTGGTTCTGTTTAGCAAGAAGAGGAAGAATTACATCTGTATGAAATCCTTTATGGGGTATCCTAATTACTTGTCCTTCACTGGGAGAATCATCTTCCTAAAGAAACATAAAGATAATTAATGCACCCAACTTTTATCAAATAATTATACTTTTCTCAGCCAATGATGTTATCAGCAGTTTCTGGAAGAAGACGAGTGTGTGTGACTAGAGACTGAACACACGGCCTTGCACTGAGCTACAACCCCAGCTCCTGCTGCTGCTCAGGCTGGCCTTGAGCTCATTTGGTAGCCCAGGCTGATCTCAAGCTTGCAACGATCCTCCTGCCTCAGCCTCACGAGTGCTGGGATTACAGGTGTGCGCCACCATGCCTGGCTTCCCAGCCCTTTTTTTTTTTTTTTTTTTTTGAGATGTAATGATTTAGAAACTAGAAACAAAATACCAGCACTGCTTACTCACTAAATAGCCCAGGCTGAGCTTCAATTTACAATCCTCCTGCTATAGTCTCCCAGAGGGCTGGTTTATAGGCATGTACCAGAATACCCAGCTAAAAGCGAAGAAGTTTTTATTTTCACTTAGTTATTACATACATTTTGACTATAATAAAAATACTAAATTTACATCATATATAAACAACATTGTAGAGTAATTTGGTGACATTAAAACAGGAGATTCAAGCTGGGCATGATGGCATACACCTGTAAGCCTAGCACTCGGGAGGCCGAAGGAGGAAGATCACTGAGTTTGAAGCCTGCTTAGGCTACAAAGTGATTGCAAGATCAACCTGAGCTTCACAGCAAAACCGTGTCTAAAAAAAAAAAAAGAAAGCCCAGCCAAATAGCTTAGTGGATTAAAGAGCCTGCAAGTAGGTGCAGGGGCCAGGGTTCAATCCCTGGGCCTGCCGTGCCGGCCTTGCCGCTGGGGCACGCTGAGACAGCAAACAGCAATTGAGACTGGGCGTGGTGGCACACCTGTAACCCCAGCTCTTGGGAGGCTGTAAACAGGCGGATCACTACGAGTCCAGTCTAGTACTGAGATCCTGAAGACCCTTCCCCAAAATACAAATAAATAAATAAATAATAAAAACCCCTGAAGCTTCACTGCTTTTGTCTCGGGCAAGTGAACAACTCCTAAGTGCTTTCTATTTCATCATCTCGTTTAGGCCTCACGCCGGTTCCCGTTTCGTGTTCAAGCAATGCACAAAGTAACACCTCAGCGTGGCAACGGGAATGCGCAGGAAGTAACAGCGCAACCCGGTCACAGGCCAAAATGAAAGTTGTGTGAGTGTGTGACAGCAGGCTGAGCCTTCGCTGGCTACGCTTCACTGTGCCTCAAAAAAGACCTGTCCTAAAAGCAAGGGAGCGTGTGGCTCTCACAGAGAGACTGGATTCCCCTACGAAAGCAAGTATGAGATGGCCACAGTATTTACTTTGTGTTTAATAAAATGAAGTTACTGCTGGATTACATATCTCCTAGCTATATATGCACATAAACAACTAATAGTACATTTCAAGTTACTCTGAATTTTTCCAGCTTATGCTTTTGTATTTCAGTAGACCCTTCCCTAAAAAATACAAAAAAATTAAAATTTAAAAAATAAAGATTTCTATTCCTAAAAGTGTTTAAATGAAAACTCCTGTTATCATTTCTATAGAATATTTACATTACATAGGTCTATATAAATATGTGACATTTTAAAATGTCTGTCTTTTCCTTCTGTGGTGTTAAATAATAACTAGGAAGAAGGATTAGTAGCCCTGGATCCTATTTCAATTTTTCTTTCTAAAGTAAAAATTTATATGTTTATTAGCATAGAGAATTATAATCATGGTTGGGGAAACCACATTATAAGAGTTAGTTAAAAACTGCTAAGATTCTGCTCAAAACACTACAGGAACAGGTCTGGAGATGTGGTCTCCTGAGTAAAAACCTGGGTTCAAGCTGGAGACAGAAATAAAAAATCAAAAAATTAATGAAAATGAAAATAACTAAGTATAAATTAGAGACAGTACCTCTAGGTGGCAATTTACATTTAGATGGAGTTCAATACCTAATTACATTAAGTATTATTTTCAACAACTGCAGCCTCAGAGATTAGTAACAATTTCATTCTCACCCCTATGATGAGATTATATATAAGGAAACATACAAAACCCTAAATTCTTTCATGGATATTTTAGTAAACTCTGTCTATAGCTCAAATAAATGAGGAAAAGCAGGGTCTGTGGCA